AGGTGTCCTGGCTAGGCACCCTAAGAGCATGCAATGTATCCCATGACTGCTCTATAACCATTGCACGGCTTAGAGTGATTCCAGAAGTTTCAAAAGCTAGTTTCATAATCAGACAAAGGGGCTGGATTCTGGTGAATCAGGATTAGTGTTCTGCAGCTGTAGGGGAGATAGTTTATAATTAAGCCAGCACCCTCCAGCAGATCTCAGCTGGAGGTCCCAGCAGTCCTAGGCAAGAGCTGGTGTGAAATCTGCCTTGCTTCCGGCTGAATAGCTCTGCTGGTGATGGGGAAAAGTCTCTGTGTTTCTATGGCTCCCACAGAGCAGAAGCCCACCTAGAATACCTGAACACGTGGACTAATACATCTTTATTTTCCTGCTTTTCATTTCTCTGCAAGATTTATGATTGTGAAAAAAAAGGAAAAAAGGTCTATTTACAGGAGTGGCTGCGAAGTTAACCATTAATTTTCTTCTCAAATGCATGGACACAATGCAAAATGATCCTTAAATGACAGAGCAGAAGTCAGGTTAAATCTGAAATTCCTATGCTGTTCACTTTTCTAGGTTACCAATCCATGTATTGAGGTAATAGCTGGGTAGATCCTTGTCAGGAACTAGGCCTGGCCTGGCTGGATTTCAATAAGTTTGCAAAAACCATTGGCCTGAAATTTGAGGCTAAGTAGGATCTTCCACCTGACTCATAAGCATTCCACATCAATATCTCTGATAAAAGTCTCAAGCATTTGAACACAGAAATAATACCAAGGGTACTTCCCTCACAGCTGAATCAAGTTGTGACAACAGATCCTGAAAGTGGTTATTTTTGTAATATTTTATCTGGTGATTGTCCTTTTTTAAAATGTCTACTAGTGAAGAGAAGAAGAGCAAAGTCCTTTCATGCTGAACAGGTTTCAGGGCAGTTGGGTGTTCATTTCCCTGAAGCCATGTAGTGTTTCTGCATCAGGGTGGGACTGAGGCTTGTGTCAGGTGAATTCCATGGTGATGTTATTTTTAAAATCATGTCTGCTGTTAGTTTACCCTGGCTGACAGAATTTACCCCCTTTCCCATCTCTGCATTCCTACACAATCTGGCCAGCAATAGCTGAAATTTGATAGCACACACAGGTATAAATTTAGTCAACTGTTGGATTTTGGCAGTTTCTTGGCCACAACCTGTGGAGTTCACAGGCCTGAACTGAGAGTGATGGAGCAGCTTGCCATTCCTAGAGCTCATATTTTAGAGTCTCTAGAATCAAGTGCACCTTCTTACCTTGTTGCTTCACACTTGGTTCAGATTTGAGAGAGATCTTGACAACTCTGAGAGCCATGGAATGTTTTAAAGTGATTAATAAGACTGCACACTTAGAGCAAAGGATGACTCTTGCAGGACTCTGCCTACATTTCGTGTTAGCATCAGATAACAATTCATCCAAGTAAAGTAGATAACTAGCAGATTTTTTTCCTACACATCTATAACAAAGTCTAAACAGCAGGAATAACAACAAAGTGCTTAAACACACAATATCTTCAGAACAAAACAGATTAAAAGAAACATTCTCTTAAAGAAAACAAACCTATGAATATTATGTATTTGGAGACCTATGCTTAGGTCTCCAAACCCCAATTTTACCTGTCTAAACACACGCAACATTAAACTGTCTCTTCATTTTCCCATGATCTGCTCAGCTGCCTGGGTGACACGTGCCCTTCCCACCTGCTCTCATCGTGGACAGCCTGTCCCCTGCACATCTCAGTGCCATGACACAGGAGACTGTGCTTCTCCAGCCCCCTCCCAGGGCTCTGGGTATCAGGCCATGCCAGCCACATCCCCCAGTGGCCCCTGTGCCATCACCCTGTGGCCCTGGGCTGACTCTGTGCCAGCGCGTGTCCGATGGGTCCCGGCACAGGAGGGGATCCTGCTCCTCACAGATGGCCCGTGCCTGCTGTGTGCAGCAGGGGACATGTACCACTAAAAGGCAGCATGTTTGGCTGCAGGCTGGCAGGCTGGCACACCCTGATCAGGCTGGGTAGGGCCACACATCCATGTGCTGTTTCTGAGCATCGCTGCAGTGGTCCTCAGAAACAGGCTGGGCTCGCTGCTGTGCCCTGTGCAGCTGTGCTGCCTCTTCCCATTTTATGTCCTCAGCATCTTTACTGAGAAAACACTACTGTTGCTTTCCATGCCACCTGTGTAGTTTATAATTTTTTTCCTCTTCTAACGCATTTGTTTGCTGTAATTTTGGATGCACTTTCTCCCCTGCATGTCTGTTTTTTACCAGCAGCACACTAAGAAGACAGTCCTAGCCACTTGATAATACTGGTGGCAAAGTTGTCCTTGTTTCCTTAGAGCACAAAGCTGCCTGTGATCACAGTGGAAAAGACTCTATTGTCAGAAATCCATCGTTGCTTTTGTGCCCCATATAGCATTTCTCTTTCTTCCCTGTGGGAATAGCAGCCACAATCAACTGTTACTTGGCCACAAACCTGTGCAGCCCATGGGCCTGAAATGAGACTAATAGAGCAGCTTGGAATTCCTAGAGCTCCTATTTTAGACTCTCTCCAAACTCAAGTGGACTTTCTTACTTTGTTACTTCACACTCAGTTTTGAAAGAGATTTTGGCAAGAGATCCTGCATTCCCTTTGCTGTGTGTTTGGAAGTGAAAGCACTTACTGTGATAGCAGGACTGCCTTACCCTAACAGGCCAAGAGACAGGGAACTCTGAGCTAGTAACACTCCTGAGGTTGAAACAGATTTATGAAAAAAATCTGTATTTATTTATTTGTATATACATGTCCCATCCTCATTTTTCCCCCATTTGGTAACCTGATATTCATGCAAGTCTATTCCTTTGTTGAATTTTTGCTTCACTTCCTGTCAAATTATTTCATTTTATTTAACTTCACCTGTCAAAATACATGAGCTAATTCTCTCTGTGATGACCTGCCACTGCTTCTTAGTCTCCAGTGACAGGATGCAGCAACTGCATGCCTGCAAAGCCTGTGCCATGGAAATCACCTGGGCATCTTTACAGATACACAAGCAGAGAAGACAAACCCAGCCTGAAATGCCTTGAACCAGCTTAGCTCTGCTCTCAGGTGCTGCCAAACCAAAAACCTTCTCTGCCCACAAACATGGTCCTTTCACACCTTTCATCTCTGGGCTGCCAAATGTTTAATGTGCAGAGTCTAACACAATGGACACCACCATCTCTCTGAGTTTATCCCTCACCTAAAACATCCTCTGGGGGCACTCATGTAGGGTTTTTTGGGGGGGTGAAACAACATTCTGGCATAATGCAATATGTTCTGAAATAATTTCTTATTCTATGAACTGACAGCATACTGCCTAACAGCAGCTGCAAAGGAAGGCACTCTCTGTAATGCCACGGTATTTATTTTTATCATTTTTACAGCTTTGATGCTGGCAGTTGTAATTTATCTGACTTCCCAGTCAATGTGCAGAGCTACCATGGCCCCATGCCACCTTGCAGCACAGAAAGCCCTTGCCTGGCCAGTCCAGTGGCTGTCCAGCAAGTCATTACTTGCGCTGGAAGTGGTGAAACGCAAAGCCAGAGCATCTTGAGTAAACAGATCCCTCTTTCATCTCCTCTACAGAAGTGGGTGAGTGAGAATTGGTGTTACACAAGGCTGCGTTGATGCTGTTCAAAGTGATGAGTTTTACCCTTAATGTTATACTGAGGGAGCCCATGTGGTGGCCAGTGATTGATTACCTTCACAAAGCTCATTTTCACTCAGCAGTGGTGAGTTTCAGAAGGGTGATAATAACAGATATCATTGCCTAAGTTCTCTCTCACAGGTTTTCCACTGTCCCATGGAAATCAAAAGGTGATTAATTCCTTTAACAGCTTTTGTGGAAGCTCAGGAGAAGTTGACATAAAGTGGAATATACTGCATATTTACCTGTGGGAGCCAAAGCCCATAATGGGTCTTTAATAATGAAAACTGAGGATACTACATCAGCAAAGAACTGGAAGAATGTCTGTAAAGAAATAGGAACAAGGCTCTCAGCAGGGATTCAGGACATCCACAAGAGCAGGAATGAACAGGAAGTCTGTGTCTACCTGTGAGCTTGTGTGCCTGAAGAAACATAATCTGAGCTAGAGGCTTTGGAAGGATGCTTGTCTGACCTTGGAGAGGCAGGTTACACAACCTGAATAAGAAAAAATAGACGGCTGATGTTACCTGTTAAAATTGGGAAGGTCTCCTCTTTGGGAGTTTTAGCTGAGGTTCTTCCAAGCATCAACCTTCCTAAAAAGGGACAAAACAAACAGATTGCCAGGCATCCCAAAGGGGTGAAGGAAACACCAGCTGGGGGCAGTTTGTCAGGGGTACCAAAGCCCTGTGGTGGCCGAGGCAGGTGCGTGCCCCTGTCCGAGGGGTCACATTAGCACCTTGCTCCTCCTCACAGGCTGTGCCAGCCACAGAGGCAGCAGGGCTGGGTGAGGGCATGTTATCCCTCATCCTCTCCCTCTTCCCCACGAGCAGCAGCAGCTGTTCCACCCCCTGCCCCTGGCTTGCCTCGCGGGGTGTGCGGTGTCGGTAGGAAATGGAAGTAATGAGCCTCAATTAAGCAGCTCCCCATACAGTCATGGATGAGCTTGTCCCAGCAAGAGTACCCAGGCCCAGGGGCTCTGCAGGGTGGTTTTGTGATGTGCAGCTGGTTCAAAGCCATTTGTGGAAGGCTGAATATTCCTCCTCCCTGTGGGACACACTTGCCCTTTTGAGTGCCACACACACAGGGTGTAGCCGGGGGGGGGGGCACAAAACACAGGATGTGAATGCCATCCTTTTTATATAGGCCTGGTTTTATACATGCCTGTTTACCAGGGAGTAAGAATAGACAAAGGGAGAAACAGTCTCCACCTTCATAAAAATCCCAAAGACTTTGGCTGACATAACAATGACTTGCCCCTGAAACAAAATTTGGGCATCATTTAGCTTTGCTCTCATTACTGTTTATATAGGACAACACTTATCTTCACTTAGAAAGCCAGCACAACATTTTGTGTCTGTTCTTCTTCCCAAGTGAGTCTTCAGTGTGGGATTTACACGGTGGCCAGAAATTATGCTGCCTTTTCCCAGTGGGATATTTCAACAGCAATACACAGATCTGAAAAGATAAACCATTTGTTCCCATTAAGAGTACTTAGAGAGTAAAAAAGGAAAAAAAAAACTCTTGTTTCATTCTGTATCATTACACTTGGTATGTTATGTTTGGCATTTTCTCCCACCAAGCCTTTTTTTCTCCAGCTGTTTTCATATGAACTATGCTCCTAAACTTCCAGCCATGATGGAAAGGGGACATCAGCCTCTGCTGTCTCTGAGGTTAGGCCACAAAAACTCATTTCCTTCAGGGAAGCAATGCTGCTTTCAGTGAATTTCACACTTTTTGCAACACGTGAGTCACCAAGTTGACTTTTGCTAAAAGAGCATACAGAGTTTGCAGAGCTGTACATAGACAAGCTTGTACTCAGTGATTAGAGGAGCAACAGTGTTCCCTGCAAAACAACATTCAGCTGGACAACTGCATGATAAAATGACCTGGGAGGGGAATTTTGGAGTGGGTTTGGGGAGGAGGTGAACCCTTTGCATGGTGGCATTCAGAGGTGATGGGAAGTTTAATTAATTCAAGGGTTCCAGGTATTTTAGGAAAGGTTCGTACTGACTGACAAGAAGACAGTGTTTGCATAATTGCCCAAGCACGCAGCCTTTGAATAATAATAATATTGCTGTTCTCTGAGATACACTTTGTTTTCAGAAGTGACCTGATATCAGCAGAAGCAAAAGACTCAATTTCACAGTTACTTCCAAACAAAAATAATTATGGGAATGCATGCAGAAATTAAATTTGTGCAATTTGTGCTAAGAAACTAAACATCCCCTAAAGCTGCACAATTTCAACCATTTCAGATTGGTTATCCTCTCTGTATCACTATTTAGGCCTGAGATCTCTTCTTCTTCTGCTCTAATCCCATTCTTTTGCTGTCTTCCATCATGCTAGAGATATTCTAGATCTTAGACAATGTGTATATTCAATAAATGTAATTAAAATGCAACTACAACTATCTTTTTCATTTTCCTTATCACAAAAAAAAAGTTGCATATTGAACCCTAACTAACTTTATGGATGTGTTTCTCATTTTGAGTCTTGTGCAGTATTCACTGAAGAAAAATAGGATAATTTCCCATGAATACAGCAAACACTGGTACAAATAATACAGCAACATTAAAAAAAAAGCCCATTTAAAAATTGCAGGAATGTGAGAATCTCTCTGACTGAAGATGTGCAACCCCCAAATCACTGAGGAACCTACTCATCAGCTTTCAACCTAACACCACCCAAAGAAAGAGAAGCTTCTTTTCTCTGTTCTGGCTTTATTTTGAGCTGCCTGGAAAGCAGTAATTACAACTTATCTTTTCATACATTTGTTCCTTCCAAAAAGAGCAAACCAGCAAATGGCCAGGCAAGCCATTGTTAAGCCCTGTTAAGCCATTTCTGGAGGATCGCCTTCAGAGGCTCCTGAGATTTATTTGTTCATCTTATCTGGCAATAGTTCATCAGCAAAATATTTCTGAAAGAGCAACAGAGCATCTTTTCCTGGTGCTGTAAGTGGGACAGCAAACCCGGGTGCCAGAGCTCTGTGTCTGTCCTCTTTCCTTTGTGAGTAGTATTAGCAGCACAGGTCCTGGCAGGCTTGGAGAGTGCCACCACACAGTCCCTCAGCCGGTGAGGAAGGGTCTGACAGTGACTTACAGCCGGAGGGAGTGAGAGACAGCATTGACCTGGAGTGCTGAGCAGCCAGGGAAGGTGAGGGCTGTGCTCTGTGTCTCTGCTCAGACCTTCCTGGCTCCGTTCAGTTCCCGCTGACGCTTCCTGGGCTTCCACTGCTGTGACCAAGGGTGGGATGTGCGCCTCCTCCACTCCTACTCTGTCCCTGCAGAGAGCTGCAGGTGATGCTGCCCTGTGCCTCAAGGCTGAGGGCCAGCCTGCTGATGCCATTTATGCCACCCACTCCATCAAGGAGGAAAATGGTGCAGCAGGTCTGACCAGGGGTTTAGTGTGAGGTACTCTGTCAGTCATCTACTCAGCGTGGTTCCATTCCAAATCAGCTGGTAGGAAATGAAGGACAAAAAGAAAGTACTTGGCAATGAATCCTAGTATTTTTTCCCTCTCCTCTGCATTCCTCACCCACCTTCATTTTGTAGCCTTGATGAAAAGAGCTGAAGAGAAAAAGAAACAGTTCGAGTCTAAAGCCATTTTTGATAATGTAAATGCACAACCATTTATACTTCCAAGAATTCAAATCTGCAATTTCAAAATGGAATTAGGCCAATCACTTTTTTATCTGGTTAAATTAATTGTTAGGAAATGGTAAATAAGGATAAAACAGGACCACTTAATGGGAAGACACTGACCTTTCCTCCATGGTTTATTGCTATCCTCTGGTCCAAACTGAAGTGAGCTTATGTTCTCAGCTTAGTTTGTCTCTTGCCATAAGAAGCAGTTTTGCTTTAGAAAAAGGCTCAGAAGTGGTATGAGGATCTCACTCACTTATTTCTCCTAGGAAATACATTCTCTTTTGGCCTCCTCAGAGGGATGTGTCTTTGTAGGCAGGTTCAGCACTGCCAGGGGAGGGGAAAACCAATAATTTCCAGCTTCATGATCATGGTTTCGGGAATCATCTTGGCTGGGCACTAGCATTAGTCTTGGTATATGTGTCTGAGGGAGGATCGGTTCTCAAAATAAGTAAAAGGCAAATTCAAAGAAGAGAGTAATCTCTTCTTTATCCTCAGAGCGTAGGACAAGAAACGGGCTTACCTGCAGCTAGAGGTGTTAAGAGACAGCAAAGTTCTGTTTGAATCTTCTCAGAATCCCTGAGAATTTTCTCAGAATCTCTGAGAAAAACTGCCTGATGAAGTGTGGAGTGCCTGTTGGCGGAGGGGCTTGACAAGGCTCTGTTCCTGGGGAGATGCAGATATTGTTAAGGCCGGAATAAATAACTTCTTGGTAGACATTCCACCCCTGTGGATGACAAAACTGTTTTATTCACACCAGTTTTTTTGTTTCTGAGATCTTCTAGCACTGAGAGCAGTGACAGAGTATCTCGGTTCTTCCTGCCACGTGTCACATGAGAGTACACCAAAGGCAGGAAGGAAAACAGACAGGGAAAACGTAGCCTCAGAGCATGAAACATGGAAAATAAGGATGTGCTGGTGGCATGTGAGCCATCCTTCAGGCTCCAGGTGAAATCCTGGTCCTTGGCAGGCAGATCCTGGGTGTGTGTGTCCACCTGACACAGGAACAGCTGGTAGCACAACCAGCCCGCAGGTCATCCAGACAATCCAGGGCTCTCATAAACTTTATGAGCTGTTATTCAGCAACACCCAATAGTTAAAAACCAATGTGTTGCAGGTAACATGGGGAACAGCTGACGAAGACCAGGAGTAAAGACACCAGTTAAAAACATGAACACAACAGGCTGAGAGAGGCTGGAATTCTGGAAAAAGAAAGGCTCCACATGAACCTGCCAGAGTTGCATTTGTACGCCGAGAACTTTTCATTTTAGTCCCCTTTTAGAGAAGCTGAAAATATCCACTAACCCTGAGAACAAACATATCATTTTAAAGCAGAATAGGCCTGTAAGACTTTTTAACACTTGTTCGTTGATTATATTAATGCCAGAATATATTAAAGAAGTGCAATATAAATTTGATTTTAATTGTTTTGTACACACGCCAGTGAAAAGGAACTGATTGGATACAGTTCACAGGCAGTATGTTAATACGTTATTTTCATATGATGATAGCTTTGCATAATCTTTCTTTTTCCAAGATTTAGAAGAACCTGTTGTTAACCAAAGCACAGGAGAGAGGAAGAATACAATTTACATAAAATCGGCTACCCTACACATTAATTAGTAATGTGGCTGAGCGGAAGGTGTGTTCACTTAGTAGAAAGTACACTTTATAATTTATACACCAGCTGTTTCAGTGCTTTCTAGTCCATTTTCCTCCCTGCCTGCCTCTAATGAAATCGTGTTACTGGAGAATTGACTGGGGTGAATTGAGATTTTAATCCCATTGACGCTTCTCTATGGAAAGGCACACTGGTGGGAACTTTTAATGGAAGGTCTGTAATCAGAAGACACTTGTATTCAGTCCCCCACTATAATGACTCTCATCAAATGTTAAAGCCCAGGCAGTGTGCAGAAGGCTAGAATTTCAAGGTTTTTGACCAACCCCATTTGAGGCATTCCTCTGGGAGTGTGTGATTACTCAAGTTTAGCAGTTTATTGCCTCATCTTTCAATATCCAGTGAAGCACAAAATTCTCATCTAGGTTGCTCTTTTTACTTAAAGAACAGGCCAAAATAGACTGCAGAGCTACTAGCACTGTCATTGAGGTTAATTCTTGCTTCTCATTTAACAGGAGATCAATGAAAAAGCTTTAAAATATTAGAGCACAAATGCTGCTTCTAAAATTGCTTAGCAGCCTTTGTGAAAAATCTGGTTCGCACCACACTTTCCCAAAACATGCTCACATTTATTTATTACCAATTGCTTTTTTAAGGCTAAGAGTAACATTAATTGAGAGGTGGTGCTGTTCTGCAAAGAAGGATGTAAACATGTATTAAAATCCAGCAGAGCGAACAGTCTTCCTATTCCCCAAACTTTGCAGTCAGGAAAAGTACAGTCATTAAAAGAGAGGTGGTCAAAAAGCAAACTGAACTGGGAGTTAATGGGACTCATTATGCTGGCTGCATGTTAGTAATGTCTCCTTCTCTACCAGAAAAACAAGTAGAAATAGACACAGAAAAGCAAAACGCACTTAAACAAATGCCTGTTAAAATCCCTGTGAGGAGAATGCATTTGCTCTGTACAGACACAAACACATCAATTAATACAGTGGAAGCCACTTCTACAAATACATGTTAAGAAATAAACTGGAAAAATGAAGGAACTTCTGACAAAAGATGTCAGATGCTGTTGAAAGGAATAAATCTATTTAAAAGACAACATATTTTTCAAATGCAGCAAGTCAAAATAGAAGGAATAATAGGAAGAATGCCTCTGAACCATTAATGTTAAATAATAAAAAAAAAATCTTTCCCTTCCTTCTTCTTTTACTCCTCCCCAAAAAGGAATCAAGATGAGAGTTTCTTTAATAAGCATTTCTCTGCCAACTTAATGAATACATTTGAATGACTTTCCCTATTCCCTGTTCCTTTCTTATTGAATTGGTCAGACAAAGGTCTAATTTGGGAGGTTTTTTACTTAAAGGAGCTCTTTCTTTCTGATACTTCTTTCGGGCCAGCATGGGTTCAGGATTTTCCACTCCTTATGCAATTCACTCCCTCTGGTCCCTTTCTTATTTTAGTTATTTCAAAAAATGTTAGGATCCACTTGTTATTAGAGGTTCCTTTTTTATGGCCTCCAATCTGAATAGGTGCCTACATTCTCACATTCCCTGAAGAATGCATGGCAGTTATTGTTCATGTGCTATAATTCATACAGGAAGGATCACAATGTAGCTTTTCACCAGAATATGTTTGTGTGCATTTTTCAGGGCTTGTTTAATGCTTATGTAATTTCAAGGTTTAAATTAATCTATATGTCTACAGATTTTTAGTGTGTACACTATGCAAATGGCTTTCAGGAGGTCTTTCTTTAGACTTTTAGACTCCCCACTCAAATTTGATGGATTAAAGCTTTCCAAGTGTCCAAATTTGAAGGGAACATCCAAACGTCAGATTCCTTTAGAGTTTCTGTAGCAAGTAATGAATGCCTTTTGTTATATCAGCCCCAATTTTTCTGGGCTCTCTCCTGCTTCCTTTTACCAGCCTCCTGTCCACTTCTTTGAGAGTTTTCTCACTCTCCACCCTGGCAAGCCAGCCTGTGTTCCCAAGCAGCTTTCTGCTGGTGTCCCTCAGGGGTAGCAATCTGTAAATCAGTGATCTGCACACTCCACAAGCATTCATTAATCGAGCTCCTCAGCACCTATATTAGGCATGGAATATTACATCAGCCTGGCAGAGAGAGAGCTGAAACAGAGACAAGCAACTGAGTCACCCAAGGGCACTCAGAAAATTCGCTTGAGGGCCAGAAATCTCACCCAGGCTCTCATTTCTTAAACGCAGATAGCACTGAATAAGTTTCCTCAGTGGTCCTAATCCACCAAAAATGAGCAAGATACAAATCCAGACATTCTGATGTTGTGTCTGACCACAAAATACCAGCACCTTACTATGTGGGCTATCTCTTCTAGCTCTGCAGAAGAAAACAGCTTAGCAACTAATAAGTAAGGCCATTAAAAGCGGATTAAGATTGAGGAAATGTGAGAGATTCTTTCTGTAAGGGGCAAGGAGGCTCCTGAGCACAGACTAGCACTCCACACTCACCTTTCTTATTGAAGCTGACCTAGTTATTAACTCTCCATTTTGAAAAGGACACACCAAAGAAAATGTGGAGACTGTTGTGAGATAAGAGCTAGTCAGAGGGGAAAGGAAAAGATGTATCAGCACAATAAAATAATTGGCCAGGCAGTAGCATTGCTGGAAAGGACTGAAAGGAGCCCTGGATCATGAATGGATCAATGAATCAGCAATACTGTTACCAAAACTAAAGAGTGAGAAGTTTGCAAGCTGTAAATAGAGTTGTCATGCAAGAAAGGAAGGGCAAAAGGAAACTATGTTCAAATTAAAAAAAAAACAAAAACAAACCAACAAAAAACCGCCCCAGGGATAGCAAGCATGTCCAATCTTTCAGGCTTCTTCAGCACCATCTCTCTAGGATGTTTATAGCATGTCTCTGCCCTTAGGTAGATGTTGGTTAGAGGCAATCTGGATCACCAGACTAGAACTACAGAAAGAGTGAAGAACTCTGTTTTCTGATTAGAATTCAATCATAGGCATCTACACATTCCACTTTTTCTGTAGTGCCTTCTAAATGTGTCTGTCACAGATTAATCTGAGCATGTACTTATTCTAACAGATAAAAAGCTATAGATCCAAATATTTTGTTTTGAAAATAAAAAACCCTCAATTTTTGTTTCAACCAGTTTACGTTCCTTCACTCTGCTTGCTTCTGGTGCTTTCTTTATGAACACGTGGAGTGTGGCAAATTTTCCCTGGAGTAAAGACAGCAAAACTCCAAATGTGGTGGAGACAGAAGATATAAAGAAGTACTCACACGATGGAAATGTGTCTGTCTTCAGTTGGTTCTTCTGACTGTTACTAAGGCCTGACTGCCCACGTGCTACTTGAGCTGCAAAATAGAGCAAAGGGAGTTATAGGAATAACAAGATCTGCTGCTTCTAACAAGAACATTGCTGTTTATAGCAGGGAAAGCCCTCTAAAATACATTTGCACAGCACTTAGCACAATGAGCCCTGGTCTTCAGTGATACAACAGTAATAACTGTCAATATCACTGTTTATGGACATTTTCTCTTTTCAACAGCATAAGGGTGCTTTTCTAATCCACAAAGGCTATAAACTTGAACTATTGCACCATTTCTAAGGGCAGAAGTGAGACCAGAGATCAGGCAGATGAAGCGTGTCTTTTGTGATTTATCTGCTCGCTGCCACCACCACCTTCTTTCTGCAGTGAAGCCATAAGGAGGGGATCATCAGTGCTTAACTCAAATGTAAATAAGTATAACATCTTCTGGAGGCCCAAGCAGTAATCCTATTCAGAAAGACATAAAAATTGCTATGACTGGGGAGTACAAGCCATCTACATTTCCTGTATGAGGCAGCTGTAGGGCAATTTAACAGGGAAAGTACAGCTTTTGTTCTGTAAAAAATCAAACTAAGATAAACTAAGAAGGAAACACAGACATCTAGGGTAGGAGACAATCCCACAAGTCCCAGGGGACAGTGCAGCCAGCCTGATGTGGCACAGGTCTTCCCCTCCCTAGACTAGAGCTACAGAGTCCATGGCATTCATGAATTTTTCGGCTTCT